CAATTTAGGTGGACAATGCCTTCAAGATTAGCACACGGACCCAAATCAGGTGCAACATGAATAAATCATTTGAGCAAAAATTGAAAAATTGAATCTCATAAAAAATTCACTGGCGACCAAGACTCACTCCAACAGTTATGATCCCATTTCCATGTGGATCAGTTAGCGTTGCTGGCCCGACTCCAAACCGATCATGTACTCGTCGATGGAATCTCAACGATTTCAGCGTTGTCGCTGAGAAATCGCATAGTTCACACGCGAATTTACGTTTTTCACCTAAAATGGTAGGTTAAAAACAAATCAGTCAAATCATGGATTATGCAAAATTTCCCTCCCCCGCCCGGTTTCTTATGCAAAATCAGAACCGTCACTTCCGTCATTCTGTGACACTAATGACTGCAACTACGTCACAAATCAACGCACGGCGTTAATTTGCCACATGGCACGAACAGCAGTTCACCGAAATTCGCTCAGCCCAGTTAGGTGATATATTGCCAATTGAAAATGAGCTATCGCACAAAATTCAACGACGAATGTTTTGAAAATCGCACAAAACACTACCCGTTCGCAAGTTTCGGCACTTCTTCTCTACTCTTTCAAGTCTTAAGTGATAAGTGCAGTTCTTGTGCTTGTACGGTATTCTAGTGAATCAGAAAATTTCTTTTGTGGAATCGTAATCGCAAAACCAAAAAAATACATGTTCCAAATTAGTAATCACAATGATAACGACATCATTACATAACATCACTCACCAAAATGTAGTTTGAAATGATTCGCCAGTCCAGGCCTTGTTTCAAATCTGGCTGGACATTTCACACAAAGATTTGTACCCTCTAGACCTCGACGACATTCCTTAACAAGGCAAAACAACCTTGAACTGAATTCACATAGAAACAAGTCCTCACGTCATCATCTGAGTCGTCATAGACATAGTTTGTATTTCTGATAGGGACTCTTCGAATTCTGCGCGGTTTATCATCACCGGGTTCAGATGAGACTGGGCTACCTTGAGTGGCAGGGCTGAGCGATGACGCACGTCGTGTGAGAATATCTGGCGATGGGGTGAGGCGACCCTAAAATGCGCGATTTTTAACAATTATTTTTTGAAGAAAATTTCAAGGGAGTTAACCCTAAAAATCATTGTATAGAAATGATCGAGATTTTGGCCTCATATCATTGAGCTCAAGTTCATTGATGCGGTCGAATATAAGGCACACACCATAATTGGTCGAGCTTCGCTATTGGTCGAATCACTGCTGGCCAATAGCGAAGCGAATATGCACTTGATCCACTTTGTTGGGCATTTTACTGACTTGACCAATAACGAAGGGATCAAGTGGATCAAGTGGATCAAATGAATCAAATGGATCAACTATGGCTTGTGACTAATATTTGTGAGAAAAAATCACTCAAAAAAAGTAAAGTCACAAAAAACTATTGCCATTATTTGCACTTTGCAGCAGACCTCTACAGCATGTAAGGAATAGAAGGTAGCATAAAAATTCTAAAAACAGAAAAAAACATGGCAAAGATCTATCTAAATTAAGAACATTCTATGAAAAAAACTTCTAGAGTATTA